GTCAGGAGGGATCAGTCCCTGGAGAAGGATGTCATGCTTGGTAAAGTACAGGGTCAGCGAAAAAGAGGAAGACCCTCTATGAGATGGATTGACACAGTGGCTGCAACAGGTGGGCTCAAGCATAACAATTGTGAGCATGGCGCAGGACCAGGCTAAATGCATGGGGTCATTATGAGTTGGAACCAACTTGACAGCACCTAACAACAACAATAATAACTACCCCAGGGACGACAAATAGAAGAGGAATGGCGTTGCATTCTTTGTCAAAAAGAACATTTCAAAATCTGTCCTGAAGTACAGCTCTGTCAGTGATAGGATAATATCCATACATCTACAAGGAAGACCAGATAATATGACTATTATTCAAATTTACATGCCAACCACTAAGGCCAAAGGTGAAGAAATTGAAGATTTTTACCAACTTTTGCAGTCTGAAATTGATCACACATGCAATCAAGAGGCATTTATAATTACTGGTGATCGGAATGCAAAAATTGGAAACAAAGAGGATTAGTAGTTGGAAAACATGACCTTGGTGATAGAAATGATGCTGGATATTGCCTGATAGACTTTTGCTGGATATTGCAAGATAGAATTTTGAAAGACCAACGACTTCTTCATTGCAAATACCTTTTTTCAACAACATAAATGGCAACCATGCAGATGGATTTCGCCAGATGGAATACACAGGAATCAAATTGACTACACCTGTGGAAAGAGATGATGGAAAAGCTCAATATCATCAGTCAGAATAAGGCCAGGAGCTGACTGTGGAACAGGCCATCAATTGTTCATATGCAAGTTCAAGTTGAAACTGAAGAAAATTAGAACAATTCTACCAGAGCCAAAGTACAACATTGAGTATATCCCACCTGAATTTAGAGACCGTCTGAAGAATAGATTTGACATATTGAACACTAATGACCAAAGACCAGACGAGTGGTGGAATGACATCAAGGACATCATACATGAAGAAAGCAAGAGATCATTAAAAAGACAGGAAAGAAAGAAAAGACCAAGATGGAAGTCAGAAGAGGCTCTGAAACTTGCTCTTGAACGTTGAGTAGCTAAAGCAAAAGGAAGAAATGATCAATTAAAAGAACCAAACAGAAGATTTCAAAGGCTGTCTGGAGAAGACCAAGTAAAGTATTATAATGACATGTGCGAAGTCCTGGAGTTAGAAAGCCAAAAGAGAAGAACATGTTTGGCATTTCTCACACTGAAAGAACTGAAGAAAAAATTCAAGCCTCAAGTTGCAGTAGTGAAGGAGTCTATGAGGAAAATATTAAACCATGCAGGAAGCATCAAAAGAAGATGGAAGGAATACACAGAGTCACTATACCTAAAAGAGTTGGTTGATGTTCAACCATTTTAGGAGGTAACATATGATCAAGGACTGATGGTACAGAAGGAAGAGTTCCAAGCTGCACTGAAGGCATTGATGAAAAAGAAGCCTCCAGGAATTGACGGAATACCAGTTGAGATGTTTCAACAAATGGATGCAGTGCTGGAAGTGCTCACTCATCTATGCCAAGAAATTTGTAAGACAGCTACCTGGCCAACCAACTGGAAAATATCCATATTTCTGCCCATTACAAAGAAAGGTGATCCAACCGAATGCAGAAATTATTGAACAACATCATTAATATTACACAGAAAGATCATTCAAAAGTGGCTGCAACAGTATATTGTCAGAGAACTGCCAGAAATTCAAGCCAGATTCAGAAGAGGACATGGAACCAGGGATATCATTGCTTATGTCAGATGGATCCTGGCTGACAGCAGTGAATACCAGAAAGATGTTTAGCTGTGTTTTATTGACTATGCAAAGGCATTCGATTGTGTGGATCATAACAAATTATGGATAAAATTGCAAAAAATGAAAATTCCAGAACACTTAATTTTGCTCATGAGTAACCTGTACATAGACCAAGAGGCAGTTGTACAAAACAGAACAAGAGGATACTGTGTGGTTTAAAGTCAAGAAGGGTGCATGTCAGAGTTGTATCCTTTTACCATACTTACTTAATCTGTATGCTGAGCAAATAATCTAAGAAGCTGGACTGTGTGAAAAATAGTGCAGCATTAGGATTGGAGAAAGACTCATTAACAACCTATGATATACAGATGACACAATCTTACTTGCTGAAAGTGAAGAGGACTTGAAGCATTTACTGATGAAGATCAAAGACCACAGCCTGCAGTATAGATTACACCTCAACGTAAAGAAAACAAAAATCCCCACAACTGGACTAATAAACAACATCGTGATACACAGAGAAAAGATTGAAGTTGTCAAGGATTTCATTTTACTTGGATCCACAATCAACGCCCATGGAAGCAGTAGTTAAGAAATCAAACAATACATTGCATTGGGCAAATCTGCTGCATAAGACCTCTTTCTAATGTTAAAAAGCAAAGATGTCACTTTAAGGACTAAGGTGATCCTGACCCAAGCCATGGTGTTTTCAATCACCTCATATGCATGCACATCTGGACAATGAATAAGGAAGATCAAAGAGAATTGATGCCTTTGAATTATGGTGTTGGCAAAAAATATTGAGTATACCATGGATTGCCAGAAGAATGAACAAATCTGTCTTTGAAGAAGTACAGCCAGAATTCTCCTTAGAAGCAAGGATGGCAAGACTTTGTCCCACATACTTCGGACACGTTATCATGTGGAGCCAGTCTCTGGAGAAGGACATCAAGCTTGGTAAAGTAGAGAGCCAGTAAAAAAGAGAAAGACCCTCAAGGAGATGGATTGACACAGTGGCTGCAACAATGGGCTCAAGCATAGTGACTGTGAGGATGACACAGGACCAGGCAGTGTTTCGTTCTGTTGTACATAGGGTCACTGTGAGTCAGAACCAACTAGACAGCACCTAACAACAACAACAACAGGTATAAATTCAGTCCAGCTCCAGGTTGGGGCTGCAGCTATACATTTGGGAGTCATTAGCACTGAGATGTAATATCATAGGACTGGATAAAATCAGTTGGGGACTGAGATAGCTGAAGAAAAGTAGAAGTCAGAGTACTGAGACTCAGGGTTGTCCACATTCAGAGGCCAGGAAGAAAGAAAAAAAAAAATCAGTACAGGAGACCAAAAGAGAAGCTAGTGGATAGAACATGAGAGACTTCAGTGGCCACTGCTTTCACCAAAAGTAACAAAAAATCTGAAAGTAATTTTTACATGTAAATTCCAAACTTCAGTTTTATCAACTAGTTTTCCTAAAACAGGTGTGTGGGTGAATTTTCTTCGAATGGATTCTGACTTCAAATTTTGTATTCTCAAAGTTAATTTGCAGCTTTCCTGCCCCACTTGAGAATTTTCAAAAATGTAATTAAAAGAGAAAATACATTCTGAGTTTATAATTAAAATAGGTGCCAATGTTATTAGGCTCCAGGCTAGATATTTAAAGAAGGGATTAATGAATTAGATTTCAGTTGTAATAGAAGTAACTGACAAAAAACTTATAGATTACTATTCGATTTTTTAAAAATCCTATGTTTTAACATTATACTTATAGCAGGATTCTGCTCTCATCACTAAATCTTAAGCTCCATTATCAACTCTCTTCACTTTATGCCACCAGACATTTCCCCTTGGATTCAATTACTCACTTTTCAATGTATTCGAAGAGATAAAGAATATCTTCAAGAAAGGAACTTTTTCTTTTTTTTTAAACCCTTACCAGCATTTTCTTCCAATAAAAAGCTATAGCTGGCTTCTTGGTTTGGGGGGGTCCCTCAAAAGAAGAGTCTAAGATGAGGATTTGGGTGCATGTAGGCAAGCAGCATATTTGGGGGTGATCCCATGAAAGCTTGAGGGTAATTGGGAAGGTTAGACAGGAAAGGGAGAAAAATCTATCCAGAAGGCATTGCTGAGAAGGTTGCTGCTGTGGACCAATGGGGCCCAAGACAGATTGAGTAGAACATATCTCTTGTCCCTCAATGGTGAGGTTTCTCCCTGCCCTCTCCTGCATGCTTTTATGGCCACAGAATGCCCTCAGACAGAGTTACAGGTAGGATGCCCTCCATGTGTGAGGGACCTGTCCCCGGCCGCTGCTCATGGCTTCTTGATGACCAGGGGGATATGGGTGGGCATCAGTATTGGCATGTACAAATGGGCATGTTTTAAAATGGGCCTTTTATACCAAGAGAAATGAGTCCTACATGATGATGCAGCAATCTTCTGTGGCAAATAAATCAAATGTTTCCTGGTACAACATTACATTTAGAACCAAACATATGAACAGATAGTTCACAAAAAAGGGAAAATCCCACAAATATCATCATTCTGAAAGTAATACAAGTTCACGTCAAACTGGGAAATATTTTTTAAAGTAATAACAGTCAATGCTGTTGAAAGTGCAGTAATCCTGGCATTTTCATACCATGTAGGTGGGAGTGTAAATTGAGCTAGTCCCTTTCAATTTTCTATGTTCTTATCTTTTGACCCAGGCATTCTGCTTCCAGGAATCTATCCAAAGACAATAATTATAAATACAGACAAAATAGTCATTAATATTATTCAAACTAGGGCTGAATAGTGGGATGAAGGTGGGAAGCGGCCCCTATATGTCTTACAAACAGAAAGAGGTTATGGTATAGCCATAGATTAGAACATTACCTAGGTGTTAGACTTAGGTTTACAAATTACTTAATGGTATAGGAAGATAATTATGATGTAACGTTTAGTGAAAACAGGATACTAATCTGTGTGTATCTGTGTGTGTATACATGTAAATTTTTAAAATATACCAAAAGAAATTGGTAGGAAAGGCATCAAACTATTAACATTGATGACCTAAAGAAGTTGACTTATGAATGGTTTTTACTTTCTTCTTTATATTTGTTTTTGCTGACTGCAACATGTACTGATTTTACAATAAAAATGGTATTTAAAATAATTTTTAAAGAACATATTAACAGTTTTATTTAAAAGAACCCTCAAATAATCTTGTTCCCAATGTTACTATTTTGTATATTGACAGATATTTCAATCATTTGACTCAGGAAAACCTCTTACTAGCAAAGAAAATTTACAGGTAAGGATAACAATACTTTATAAACATTAGCTATTTAGTGTGGATAATATTGGAGCCATTGCAACCCATTTAATAGGCATAATCTTTGTTTTTGAAAACATTAGTTACATAATATGCTTTTCTACTTCTAATAATGGGCTTTTATCTCAAAACGCTGAGCTAGATTCCACCCAAACCTACCTGGCTTTCAGATTGGGCAAGTATCAGCTACTGCTCCCATTTCTCAGTTACAGGTGTGTATTCATTTTGTTCACCTACACATGTCAGATGTCTCTAACTTTAGTATTTATCTTAATAACCTAGAAGATAACAGCTGACTTTGATTGCAAGAAAAGGATTTTGTACATTTCGCAGTAGCCCACTTGTTTACTACCGCTTTTGCTCTTAACGGTTTTTCACAGTTCTGAGACTGTCTCTCAACCAATGGCTTAGAATGTGCTCATTTGGCATTTCCGTAAGCAGCTGTTTTAACTTCCCCAATAATATTCACAAAGAGGATTAGACTGTCCACCTAAATACATTTGATCCTGACAATAATTGAATGATTGGGATTTAAGCATTTGATGACCTAGCCAAAACAAAATCAAGCACATTACCGTCGAGTCGATTCCAACTCATAGCAACCCTATAGGACAGAGTAGAACTGCCCCATAGGATTTCCAATGAGTGGCTGATGGATTTGAACTGCCAACCTTTTGGTTGGCAGCCGAGCTCTTAAACCACTTCACCACCAGGGCTCCTTTGATGACTTGGTGGCATTTAAACGTCTTGAAATAATCATTAAAAAAAATCTTAGGGAGATTGTCAGTCTGTTCACTATTAAGTGTTCAGGTGAAAGAGTTGTAATGCAACCATTGTTAAAGAGGGTTATAGATAGATAAGGAGTTTACAAAAGCAGGGTGACAGTGCATATAGACAGATACACATACTTTTTATTTTTTTAAATGCCACATTTTATTCCATCAACTTCACTTTTCATTTATCTTTCAGATGATCCATTGTTTTTGCCTGAAATTTGTCTTAATTTATAAATAAGTTGCCTGAAATGAAAGGGTTAACATTAGGAAGATACAAATGCACATTTATATTTCATTTTAGTGTTCCAAGACCTTGGAATGTTTAACAGTATTTATTTCTTTCCAGTCATAAATGCCAGGACATCCTAAAAAAAAAAAAAAAAAAACAACTCAAGAAGTGGTTTGGGGTATAAAGGGAATGTCTGATCCTTTCTTGTTATACAAAAAGAGACTGACAGCATAGTGAAAAAAACAATTTTTATTAGCTAATTAATTAAAACAGTACTATTGGTCTGCTTAAGACTCTTCAGATTACACTTTATATTTCTGTAGAGAGGGAGAGAAAGGAGTGTTAAATAGCCTTACCGATTAATCTTCTTTTGATCCTCAAGTGTTTGTGTGTAATTGTCAAGGCTCATTAAGTCACTGTTTGCAGTGGAGAGAGGAGAGAAGAGAAATCTTCCTCTTCCCCATCGAAAGTATGATTTCTAGATAGGGAAGGTCAACCATGTTCCTAGTAAACAATTTGGTATCAGCTCTACTTTCTGCCTGGCTCTTCTGCGTGCTTTGATCCCCACCTGTTACAAGAGGTTAGGAAAGGAGTCTGAACAATAGCAACAAAGATCCCCAACCCCAAACTTCCTCGAACTCTCTCAGGCAATGCTTTTTGTTTGTTTGTTCCTTTACATAAGACAAATAGTTTTCCTCTCTGAAATCAGAATGCATCTTAAGTTGATGCTGTGTGACAATTTAATTGGTATATGAAATAATGGTATCTTAGATTAGAAGTATACGATATATGATGACTGAGAATGACCGTTGGATTTTAGCACAAAAAAAAGCCATTGGTGACCGTGACCCAAAGGTTGCAGTATAGGAATGGAATGAGTTTAAGAGCAAATGTAAGGAGAGAAATTAGAATATTAACAGTCTTTAGAGCTTGGAAGTAAAGGAAAAAGAGAATTAGGGCACATAGTAGCTGGGGAGGGAAGTAGGAGTCTAGAGAGTTTTTTTGTTTGTTTAAGACTGAGGAATTGACAGCATGGCTGTGTGCTGAGGGGACTGTCTCTGCAGAGAGGGAAAGAGTTATGATGTAGGAGAGGGAGGAGAGAATGGCTACAGTGATGTCTTGAGTAGGCCAGTGGGGACAGGATCGATGGCCTAAGTGGTGGCACCAGCCTTAGCAAGAAGCAAGGCAGTGGGGGCAAATACTTGAGTAAGAGGACCGATGGAGCTGTGGGGTCTGTGGACACTCTCCTCTGCTTCAGTTTTTCTCTGTTAATAAGTGGAGGAAGCAAGGTCATCAGCTCAGAGAAGGGGTAGGGGAGTAAGGTTTAGAGTTTAGAAGAGAGAAGATAAGGTGTGAAATTGTTGTCTAGGAGAGAGGAAGAGTGAATGAACTAGGGAAATATTGGATGGTTACTGGGCAGCACTGAGGTGTGACCAGACACTTAAAGCAAGACCACTTGGCATGGTTGCCTAATTTTCTCCAGCCCTCTTTAACTCAGGGATTCAGGCCTCAGAAGAGTCAGAGTTGGGTTGCACGAAGTCTGTGATTTTGTCAAGGAATTATGTATGCACCAGAAGGGGCCAGGGAGTTGAGGGGGTATAAAAGGAGGGGTAAAATGATTAACCACAGACTCTAAACTGGGTATGGAGAGTGCTTGTCCACCCATTCTTCCCCTCTTCCTGTTCTGGTAGCTCTAATTTTCTTACGCGGAAGCAGAGCAGCAGGTATGCATGGCTGATGAGCTTTAGCTGTTTCTCTATTTTGATAAAGTGTCTCCTCTCTTTCAGCACTACGCTCATTCCTGTTACATGGCAGGGCTGGCTTATTGAAGCACAGGTCACATATTGGTGGGGAATGGCAGAAGCAGTGGTGCACTGCTGGGATGGTTATGACATTACATGTCTCTCTCGTTAGACCTGCCATTTATGGTACTTCATGTCTATCAAACACCAAACGGATTGAGTGCAAAAGAGTAATGAAGTCAGTAGTATCTGAAAAAAATATTTTGCTAACTTGCTTTGTTTTCCTCTGTTTAAATTTGTTAGGCACTTGATGAATTAATAAATAAAGGCTCGCCTGTATTTCTGGTTTCATTTGGCCAACAACATCTCTTAAGTAAGTTTTGCTTGGTCAGAGCACACTTTTTCATAAGTGTGGCTGCAACAATAAATTGTATCTCAGAAAATACATCAAAAACATGCCAACACGGACCTATTTACGAGAGGAACAAAGCAAACCTCCCAAACATAAAAGGTAATCATGTTTTATTTTTTGCTTGCTCCCATTTCTCCTGCTTTCCTCCAGCCATTTCCCGTTACGTATGGATAGTTTGGTATATATTCTGCATATTTTCCTCTAAGCTCATATGACATACACATGTGCTTATACCTAAGAATGTTTTTGTCGTTAGGTACCAACGAGTGGGTTCCAACTCATAGCGACCCTATGTACAACAGAATGAAACACTGCCCGCTCCTGCGCCATCCTCAGTCACTATTATGCTTGAGCCCATTGTTGCAGCCACTGTATATGCATATGTAGATCCATTCATGTTGTTAGGTGCTGTCAAGTCATTTCCCACTCATAGCAACCCTGTGTACAACAGAACAAAACACTGCCCAGTCCTGCGCCATCCTCACAATCATTGCTATGCTTGAGCCCATTGTTGTAGCCACTGTGTCAGTCTGTCTCCTTGAGGTTCTTCCTCTTTTTCACTGACCATCTACTTTAACAAGCATGATGCCCTTCTCCAGGGACTGATCCCTCCTGATAACATGTCCAAAGTATGTGAGATGAAGTCTCACCATCCTTGCTTCTAAGAAGCACTCTGGCTGTACTTCTTCCAAGACAGACTTGTTCATTCTTCTGGCAGTTCATGGTGTATTAAATATTCTTCACCAGCACCATAATTCAAAGGCATCGATTCTTCTTCCATCTTCCTTATTCATTATCCAGCTTTTGCATGCATATGAGGCAATTGAAAATACCATGGCTTGGGTCAGGCACACCTTAGTCCTTAAAGTGATAGCTTTGCTTTTTAACACTTCAAAGAGGTCTTTTGTAGCATGTTTGCCCAATGCAGTACGTTGTTTGATTTCTTGACTGCTGCTTCCATGGGTGTTGATTGTGGATCCAAGTAAAATGAAATCCTTGACAACTTCAATCTTTGTTTATCATGGTGTTGCTTATTGGTCCAGTTGGGAGGATTTTTGTTTTCTTTATGTTAAGGTGTAATCCATACTGAACTCTGTAGTCTTGATCTTCAACAGTAAGTGCTTCAAGTCCTCTTTGCTTTCAGCAAGCAAGGTTGTGTCATCTGCATATCGCAGGTTGTTGATGAGTCTTCCTCCAATTCTGATGCCCTGTTCTTCTTCATTTATTTCAGCTTCTGGGATTATTTGCTCTGCATACAGATTGAACAAGTATGATGAAAGACCACAACCCTGATGCACACCATTCTGATTTTAAACCACGCGATATCCCTTTGTTCTGTTCGAATAGCTGCCTCTTGCTCTACTTACAGGTTCCTCACGCGTACAATTAACTGTTCAGAATTCCCATTCTTCCCAATGTTATCTGTAATTTATTATGATCCACATAGTGGAATACATTTGCATAGTCAATGAAACACAGGTAAACATCTTTCTGGTATTCTCTGCTTTCAGCCAGGATCCATCTGACATTAGCAATGATATCTCTGGTTCCATGTCCTCTTCTGAATCCAGCTTGTATTTCTGGCAGTTCCCTATTGATGTATTGCTACAACGGTTTTTTGAATGATCTTCAGCAAAATTTTACTTGCTTTTGATATTAATGATATTGTTTGATAATTTCCAAATTCTGTTGGATCACCTTTCTTTGGAATGGGCACAAATATGGACTTCTTCCACTTGGTTGGCCAGGTAGCTGTCTTCCAAATTTCTTGGCATAGACAAGTGAGCAACTCCAGCGCTGCACCCATTTGCTGAACATCTCAATTGGTATTCTGTCATTTTCTGGAGCCTTGCATTTTACCAGTACCTTCAGTGCAGCTTGGACATCTTCCTTCAGTGGCATCATTTCTTGGTCATATGCTGCCTCCTGAAATGATTGAACATCAACCAATTCTTTTTGGTACGCTGACTCTGTATTCCTTCTATCTTCTTTTGATGCTTCCTGTATTGTTCAATATTTGCCCATAGAGTCTTTCAATATTGCAACTTGAGGCTTGAATTTTTTCTTTAGTACTCTCAGCTTGAAAAGTGCCAAGTGTATTCTTTCCTTTCGGTTTTCTAACTCCAGGTCTTTGCACATTTCTTTATAATAATTTAGTCTTCTTGAGCCTCCCTTTGAAATCTTCTGTTCAGCTCTTTTACTTCATCATTACTTTCATTGGCTTTATGTGCTTTACATGCAAAAGCAAGTTTCAGAGACTTTTCTGACATCCATTTTGGTCTTTCTCTCCTGTCTTTTTAATGACTTTTGGCTTTCTTCTTCATGTATAATATCCTTGATGTCTTCCCACAACTCGTCAAGTCTTCAGTCATTAGTGTTCAGTGTGTCAAATCTGTTCTTGAGATGGTCTGTAAATTCAGGTGGGATATACTCAAGGTCTTACTTTGCTTCATGTGGAATTGTTATAATCTTTTTCAGTGTCAACTTGAACTTGCATATCAGTAATTGATAGTCTGTTCCACAGTCGTCCTCTGGCCTTGTATTGAGCTTCTCCCTTGTGTCTATCCAGAGATGAAGTCGATTTGATTCCCGTGTATTCTATTCAGCGAGGTCCACGTGTATAGTTGCTGTTTATGTATCTGAAAAAAGGCATTTGCAATGAATAAGTCATTGGTCTTGCAAAATTCTATTATGTCATCTCCTGTGTCGTTTCTGTCATCAAGACCATATTTTCCAACTACCAATCCTTCTTCTTTGTTTCCAACTTTCACCTTCCAGTCACCTGTAATTATCAATGCATCTTGGTTGCAAGTTTGATCAATTTCAGACTGCAGCCCTATTGCCTCCCAGTCCATTCCAGTTCATAGTGACCCTATAGGACACAGTAAAACTGCCCCGGAGTGTTTCCAAGGCAGTAATCTTTACAGAAGTAGACTGCCACATCTTTCTCCCACTCAGACTGCAGAAGTTGGTAAAAATCTTTAATATCTCATCTTTGGCATTAGTGATTGGTGTGTAATTTTGAATAATAGTTCTATTAACTGGTCTTCCTTGTAGGCATATGAATATTACTCTATTACTGGCAGTATCATACTTCAGGATAGATCATGAATTGTTCTTTTGACAATGAATGCAATGCCATTCCTTTTCAATTTGTCTTTCCTGGCGTAGTAGACCCTATGATTGTCTGATTCAGAATTTCCAATACCAGTCCATTTCAGCTCACTGATACCTAGGACGTCAATCTTTATGCTTTCCATTTGATTTTTGACTACTTCCTATTTTCCTAGATTCCTACTTCATATATTCACATTCCTGTTATTAATGGATATTTGCAGCTGTTTCTTCTCATTTTGAGTCATGCCACATCAATAAATGACAGTCCCAAAAGTTTTTCTTCATCCACGTCATTAAGGTCAACCCTACTTTGAGGAGGCAGCTCTTACCCAGTTGTATTTTGAGCGCCTTCTAACCTGAGGAGCTCATCTTCTGGCACTACATCAGACCATGTTCCACTACTATTCATAAGGTTTTCATTGGCCAGTTTTTTCAGAGGTATACCACCAGGCCCTTCTTCCTAGTCTGTCTTAGTCTGGAGGCTCTTCTGAAACCTATCCACCATGGGTGATCTTGCTAGTATTTGAAATACCAGTGGCATATCTTCTAGCATCACAGCAACATGCAAGCCACCACAGTACAACAAACTGACAGACAAGTGGTGGTATCTATTCATATGTATCCATATTCATACAGGTTTTCATATGTATACACTTACAGAAATTGTCATTATTTTACAAAATGGTATAATCCACATTTTTCTGTATCTTGAATTTCTTATGCAGCAAAACTTTACTGAAACCACACCAAGTTAACTGCTTTTGCTTTGGTCCATTATTTTCTACTGGCTGTATAATATTCTGTGCTGTGAATAGCCCATTATTTATTTACCCATCCCCCTATTGATGCCCTGGATTTTTTTTTTTTTTTTTTAATACGCAAGCCACCACTCATCTGTCTGTTTTACTGTAGTGGCTTATGTGTTGCTGTGTTGCTGGAAGTTATGTCACCAGTATTCCAAATACCAGCAGGGTCACCCTTGGTGGACAGGTTTCAGCAGAACCTCCAGACTAAGACAAACTAGGAAGAAGGATCTGGCGGTGTACTTCTGAAAAAATTGGCTAGTGGAAACCTTATGAATAGCAGCAGAACACTGTCTGATATAGTGCCAGAAAATGAGCCCCTCAGGTTCGGAGGCACTCAAAATACAACTGGGGAGGAGCTGCCTCCTCAAAGTAGAGTCTAACTTAGTGATGTGGATGGAGTAAAGCTTTACAGACCTTCGTTTATTGATGTGGCATGACTCAAAATGAGAAGAAACAGCTGCAAATAACCATTAATAATTGGAACATGGAATGTACGAAGTATGAACCTAGGAAAACTGGAAGTCATCAAAAATGAAATGGAATGCATAAAAATTGATGTCCTAGGCATCGGTGAGCTGAAATGGACTGATACTGGCCATTTTAATCAGATAATCATAGGGTCTACTGTGCTAGGAATGGCAAATTGAAGAGGAATGGCATTGCATTCATTGTCAAAAGAACATTTCATGATCTATCCTGAAGTACAACACTGTCAGTAATAGAATAATATTTACACGCCTACAAGGAAGACTACTTAATATAACTATTATCCAAATTCACACACCAACCACTAAGGCCAAAGGTGAAGAAACTGAAGATTTTTACCAACTTCTGCAGTCTGAAATTGATCAAACATGCAATCAGGATGCATTGATAATTACTGGTGATTGGAATGCGAAAGTTGGAAACAAAGAAGAAGGACTGGTAGTTGAAAAATATGGCCTTGGTAATGGAAACAATGCCGGATCTTATGATAGAATTTTGAAAGATCAATGACTTCTTCATGGCAAATACCTTTTTTCAATAACAAACGGTGAGTATATATGTGGACCTTGCCATATGGCGAGGAATCACAGAAATTAAATCGACCATATCTGTGGAAAGAGATGATGGAAAAACTCAATATCATCAGTCAGAACAAGGCCAGAGACCAGCTGCAGAACAAACCATCAATTG